GGCCAATCACGTCAGCTGGTGCGTGTCCCTTGAGCAGAACGACGTCTGCCGGTCGGTTGCGCCAACCCTGAGAGCCCAAGAGCCCGAAAGACATGCGATTTCATTCTATCACTCACCAACCCACCAACACGCCAGCTCATCTGCCCCTCTCCTCTTGAGTCGGAACTTCACCCACCCTATCCCCCACCCATTTCGTACTCGTACCACACTCCGATACAAGCACCTTCTGCTCATCCTGCTCATCATCTAATCATATTTGCAACCCACTGCTTTGATGTAAACTCATGTTGCGAGCCCAATCTGTACTTAGCCGGCAGACGATATATACTCCTCTTCGCGTATGTATACTTTTACCTTGTCATTCTGATACGATTCATGGGCTCCCGGTACCGGGGTAGTCACAGTCAGAGAGAGAGAGAAAGAGAAAGAGAAAAGTAGAAAGGTAAGGAAAAAAGAAAAAGACAGAAAAAGAGACAGAGAAAAGGTGAGATAAAGATAAAGCGAAAGAAAAGACACGAAGACGGAGATAGAGTCAGAGACAGATATAGAGATTAAAAAGAGAAAAAAGACAGAGAAAAAAAGAATGATACAGAGAAAAATAAAGAGAAAGAAAAAGAAAGGAACAGCAAGGGAAAAAAGAGACAAAGACAGAGACAGAAGAAAACTGAGATAAAAATAAAACAAAAGAAAAGAGACGAATCAGAGATAAAGACAAAGAAGGAAAAAAGAAAAAACGGACAGAGAAAAAGATAATATTTGTAGAGAAAAATAAAGAAAGAGCAAGGGAAAATAGAGAAAAAGATAGATGCAGAGAAAAAGTGCGAGAAAAATAAGTCGAAATAAAATGGAGGAAGGCAGAGACAGAGACAGAGGGAAAAGCAATAGAGAAAACAGGAAAAATAAATAAATAAAAAGACAGGGACAAGGTGACAGAGACAAAGACTAATAAATTGACAGAGACAGAAATAGGGGCAAAGACAGACATGAAACAGACACAGATATAGAGACCGTGAGAGAATTGAAGAGGGGGAGAAAGAGAAAGTGTAAAAAACAAAAACACGGGTTAATTGGCCATTGCATCGCCAAATGATAAAGTTTGACGACGCAAGGCGGTATGGTAGGAACTTGTTTGTTAACGTCGAGTAGACACAGATTGTATGTGTCAAGAGTAACAACTGGGTTTTTGCGGCACCGATTCAGATGCTAGGCCTGCAGGGGCTGGTTTTTTGTGGGAAAGACATACATTTGTAGGTGGATATGTTCGGATGCAATGATGCCCGACGCTGGTTATTATGTAGACACTCATGCTTTACATCGTCTCTAGGTTGACACAGTCTACGAGCCATCCTCTCTTGTTTCGAGCGAAAATGAGCTAAACTTTCGTTCATCATACCCCTTGGTCGAGTATCGTCGCGTTCAGGTTTCGCTGTTACTCTTACGCATAAAAACATGATGATTTTTGAACTTTAGGTTTGAACGTGTTAGTGTGTGCATGCGAGTCAGAGTAAGATAGCACCATTAAAAACTCGGAGTTATTAGAAATATGCGTATACACACTTATACATATTTCATTTAAAAAAGTAACCGAATTGCTTATATCTCTTTTCAATTACTTCTTTTTTTGCTGTTTTGAGAGTATATCGAAAGTAATGAGGAGCCAATTGGCCTTCTTAACCTAATGATAGTTTAAAAATTCTGTAAGTATTTCATGCTGTTTTAACACTATCTATAAATTAATATGGGAGACAGGGTCAGCTAATGTTTATCTGACTATTAATAAACAATAGCAATAATATAGTTTACTAGAAAATTATACAATATATACAAAGTATATATTTCTATGATATAATAAAATATAACGCTAATATTGATTAAGGAAATAGTTCTCAAACTACTTGCTTAAAGAGAAAGTATTCGATACTACCAGCAGATCCCCACTTACGAATGCGAAATGTAGCGTCACGCAAGAATTCACGACCAGAGATGAGTTTTATTTCAGCATAAGTGTCGAGAAGGCTAATCTGTATGCTTTATATGCTACATATACGTATAAAAACATAGTGAGCAGACAACTTTTATGTTTAAGCGTGTGTATGTATGTGTGTCAGTGGGTGTGGGAGTACGTGTGTAGGTCAGGAAAGGAAACATTATGAAAATATGTGTGAGAAATGGAAACATGCGTTCAAGCGCACACAACTTCGTGAAAGAGACATGATTAAATATTTTTGTCTTTTTATTCAGTTATCTTTTATTGTGGCCTTGATTGTACGTTGCATGTAGGGAGGAGCCAGTTAGCCTTCTTAACTTAGAGATAGCTTGACATTCGTGCAGGACTTGCAGGACGAACAGGCTCTGCAGTCTCCGTCAAGTAGTATGACAGACAAGCCCAGCTGATGTTGATCGGAGTCTCAATGAGTTCTTTTAGATAACTTTGCTGTAAAGACTTATATTTCGCAAGAGAGAGAGTCAGTGAGAGATCGATCACGCCGTAAAGACGACGGCCGATGCCAGTGGTTCTTCGGCCTTAGTGCGGTGCTCAGGGTGACACAATCCACGAGACATCCTCCCTGGTTTCCGGAGCAGACGGAGTAAATTTACCTCCATCATGTCGCGTCTGCAAACTTC